TGATATTTTGAAGGCTTTGCTGAGTTTATTGAACTAAAATAGAATTTTGAGTCCATCAGACCAAAAGCATGTAAATGAGATGATTGAACTCTTGAAATGTTCTTGTTTGTTAATTTTTGAGGATCAGTCTCACCGAAAACTCTCGGTTTAGTTCTTCATTTCAGCTTTTTCACTCTTTTCTAAAAATGCTGATTTGGTCGCAGCTTTAAGGATAGTGGTTGTGGATAACTTTCATAATTTGTATTTCTCATTTTAAAAAATTCTCACCAAATTACCTTCAGTTGGTGCATATGTTGAAAGTCTGAGACTTTAGAATAAAGTGACGTCAAAATAACCAAAGACAGATTGAAAAGCACAGCTTTATTTTCTCTAACCATCTGAAGTTTTTTCCGTCTGCCCAAAAAACACTTCTAATGATCTGTGCTTTCTTTGTTTGCTGAAAATTTGCGTTAATGTCATAGATGGATATTCCTGTCTGCTTCTGTTGGATTAGTTTGTTTGTAAAGACATCTATTATGACACTTTTGGCAGATCTACATATTGTTATGAGCTTTTCAATCACTCTAATACATTCATTTGTCAGGCTGTTTTTATGTTTCTGACTCAGCTGAGATTGTGGTGAAGTCTCCGATTGTGGTTAAAGAAAATTAAATTCCTCAAACTGTGTCACTAAAAGCTCCTTGCCTGTTTTTCTTTATGGTTTAGTCTGCCTGACAGTGACCGGCGACAAGTGTAACGTCAATGAGTCCAGACTGAATGACCTGGAGGTTAGACATCATGCTGCCCAAAAAGCATAAATCGGGTTATGAAAAGAAGAAAGAGAGGAAAGAAAAAGACAGAAGGCAGAATGAGGGCAGGCAGCTGTTGACTGATTTCTTTCCCAAAAATGAAACCAGTTTGCTTGTTCTGCACAGTCCAATCAAAGTTAACATAGTCCACTCCAGACAGCTGCTGATGATATTTGTGTGCTCACATAAAGTCTTTAGCTTAGCTAGTTGCCAACCAGTCTGCTTGTGGCTGTAAGTAGAAAGACAATTATGGGCCAGCTAACATAAGTTGTCAACATTAACCAGTTTCAGAAACAAATAGTGGCACCCTCTGGTGATGGGCTGCAGAATAGGTCATAAATCCCCCCCCCCCTTGGGATACACTGTTTAAGCAGAGCCTCAACACAGCAACTCTCCCACCGAATGCGTACAACGCTACTGCGCAAGTGGTGGTTCCAGGAAGTGGAGAAAATCCCAGAAATACCAAGAGCAATTTGGGTTCAAATTTGTATAATGACGGAAGGCAGAGCCAAGTTGTCCATAGTGTATACAATCTATGGTTGAATCGCACATGAAGAGAGAGAGAGAGAGAGAGAGAGAGAGAGAGAGAGAGAGAGAGAGACTGGTAGAATTAATGCCTGAATGTAAGTTGTTTACCTTCAGTTTAACGTTAGTTAGCCTTTTGGTTCAGTGCGTGTGCTTTAGCCTAATGTCCACAAACACAGCAGAGCTGAAAGTGAAACTCTGTGCTGAGAGTTAATTAATGATCCACCTAGCAATATTTCTGCTGCATATATCAACATGTAAATAGCCTACCAATAGTACTTTAGGCTCAAGTGCGCATTAGTAATATATTGATTGAGCAATAAAGCAGTTTTTTTTTTTTTTCCTGATAAAAAGCCAGAGCATTGTAGTGCAGTGCTGTGTTTAAAAGCTATTGTCAATGCTCAATAAATTTATGATGTTACCAAAGCCAATGAATAGTCATGTTAAATAACTGTGATCTAAATAGAAATCACAAATAATTGTGATTATGATTTTTGCCATAGAACACAGAAAAACAGTGAGCTATTAGAACCACTCATCAGTATAATCTGATCTGATTGTTGCTCAAAACCCTATTTATGCAGTTTCATTTTAAATAAATAAACTCTTTTTTTTTTTTTGCTCACGCGCTTCGTGCACTCGCATGCATAGGGCCTCACTGACATTGAAAGTGTAAAGGGCCCGGTATTTGGTGCTACGCCCCTGCACACAACTCTACTGCATACTATATTTCTGAGATACAAAAAAGACTGGAGAGGTTTAGACGGGCCTGGAACCTACATCCATTGTGAACAGAAAATAATCACACACCAGCTCAACTCTGAAAAGAGGGCATGCTCAAAAACATTGAAACAGACAGCACAGCCATCAGCAATGTGTTTGGGGAAATTCTCTGCAGCAAACGGAATGTTAATGCCATCTTATCATAGCATGATAATCAATTCAAACACTGCCCACACTACAAAAGCAGTCGTAACACAGAATATAAGCAGCACACTGATGTTGGTTTAGTGTGAGTCCTTGATATAGAAAATGAAAAATCTACATACACAAATAAATATAAAGTCAAGTTCATCCACAGGTCCTCTAAGGTGATATGTTGATACAAGAGACTAATTTTGTGACACTGTCTCATCTGGTTCATCAATAATAATAATAATAAGTTCCTGAGCAGATGAAGGAGGGAGTGATGGTTCAGCATGAAGAGTCAGTATTTCTTGTGGTTGTGAGACCAGAGTGAGTGGCGGCTCAGGGAGAGGGCTCAGAGAGACCTAAATTTCAAATGACATGAATCAAATTCATTTTAAGATATCTATAAGTTGATGATAGATATTTAGAATTAAATGATGACTATCCTTAACTCCAGTTTGACTAGTTACAACTTAATTTCAGAAATCTGAGAGAAACATGTAGATATCTTGAATTGAGGTGAATAAAAGATATCTTCAATTATGAAAAGTCAGAATCAAATTGTAGATATTTCAAACTGGACCTATAGATATCAACAATTGAATTGTAGATATCTGTAATGAGAAACTCCATACACATGAATAGCAAACGTGACGTCATTTGTCCTGAGAAGAATGTGTTTGTGGGTATCTGGAACTAGGCAAAACTGAATTACAGATATCTGCAACACATACCCAGTCTAGTTATTAAATGTTATAACGGCTTGCCATAGAATCTTACTTCTGTAGCTGAGAGTGATTTGAGAGTTAGTGACGTGTCAGTCGCAAACGAAGCGGTTCAAAGAGCTGGCTCTTTGACATGAACGATGGGAGCCGGATCCTGTCTGTGAGTCATTTGATTTTTTCTTTTTTTTCTCTCTTCTTTCCCCCCCACAGACGGTAAAAAAAAAAAAAAAACTACAAGGCACAATGACAGAATGCTCCATGTGTGCAGTGCATGACTGTCACTTGCATGCTGTGTGCAACCAATCACGCGAGTATACACCAAGCAGAGGGGGGCCGCCATGTACTTGTGCTCGTTAGACAGATACACTCAGGATGGCTACAGTACTGATATCAGAAAATGTTATTTTTACTGGTGAATACTTCATTACAAAGGATGTATTGTATTGAGGTATGTGTACACATACGTACATATCATAAGCCAAACAACGCTAAATTTGGCTGAATTAGAAAATGAATATGTGGTAAAATGAAGAGCCATTTGGGAGCCGAAAGAGCCGGCTCTTCTTGGTGAGCTGAGCCAAATGATCTGGCTCACTAAAAAGAGTCATAATTCATATCACCATTGAGAGTTTTTCTGGGAGTATGTCAAGTATGTCCTGCTTTGATGGTTTAGGACAGCTTTCATGAACTTTAAAAAAAAAAAAAAGACCTCTGCGTTGAAATGTGTCTGTAAATGTGAAAATCATACAGTTTAATAAAACAGTGACACTGCAAATTCACTTGATATGCTGTTAATTAGATCTCATACTGCTGAAATACAACTGAACAGAGAAGTAAGAGAGAAAAGACATTTGGCTGAGGACTAAGACCTAAAATCTACAGACCGAGTAAAACTTGACACATTCTCAAAGCCCCCTCAGCACTTTTCACATGATTATAGAGACACACAGCTCTCTCTCTGGCTCTCTCTGTCAGTGAATATTGAGTGATTAGGATGGGGATTAGTGTGGGCACAGTGAGCAGTCTGCCGTTTTTGAAGAGGCTTTATTGCTCAGTCTGCACCAGGCACTGTTTGGCTCTTTTTATGTCACTACTGACACAATCCACCTACTCTGGGCAATACACTCTTATTGTGTTTACATGCACTGGTGTTTCCCACAGACACTCATTTTGGCAGTGTGAATCACTCTCTGAAACAATATTTAAACCAAGCGCTGATATACAGCCAAAGCTTCAGGAAACTGGGCTTCAAAAAAGTGAATCGGCAACTGAATGTTTCATTAAGCAGCCACTAAGCTCTGAGAAACCAGAACCCATAACACTTACAGAAAACATTGTCCAATGGAAGCTCTTTTTGCTTTTAAGACCACACCTTTGGACTATGTGGGTGTGGTCTGCAGAGTCAGTCTGTGCCAATTCACATCAAGCATTATCCAAGATCGGATCAGACTGAGCCCAATCTTCTAAGATCAGACCCACTCCCATCCCACCTTCAACCACACATTGCAGCATTTATCAAGTTGCAGTGGAAAGGCAGAACTTCCTTTAACAGGCAGAAACCTCAAGCAGAACCAGACTCATGTTAGACAGTCATCTGCTGAGACTGAGCTGGGAACAAAGAGGAGAGAGAGGGTCATGCAGGAAGAGAGAGCTGGAGGTAGGTCTGTGGTTGCAAAGCATCTGCTGCAGCAATTCGAAGGACCATCTGACATGATGGGGCTCCCAGAAAAGACTGGTTTGCAGGTAGTTTGTAGTGCAAGTAGTTTTGACCAGTCATGCAGTTGCAGACTCTGGTGTTTGCAGGAAAACTTTTCATTTGGAGAAGAATCCATCCCAGCTCCAATCTGCAGAATATTAATGATTTATTCATCTCCACAAACAGATATCCACATGCAAGAGCAACCAACAAACTGGTCTACATCAAACATTTACACTTGAGCGTCAAAGCTGCTCAGCACTGTGAGAGAAAGACCTATCAGTGTCCAGATTTCCTGGACTGCATCAGAAGGACTCAGTTTGAAGAGCACCAAAAGCTTTTTGTTCCTCATTTGAGGATTGACTTGGGAGAGTTTGCAGTTTTAACTTTTTAAGAAACTTTATCATGTTTTTTTTTTTCTTCCCTCAAAATTGTGAGTTAATTGCAAGAAAATGTGCGTCATTTACAGGTTTAAACCACTCAAGTAACCACCAACCACCTGAGGAGCAGGAGGGTGGTTGGACCATCGACATTCATGTTTGTATTAAGTGTGTGAGACACAATGAGAGGCAGGATGACAAAGACAGTATGAGTCAAGACTACAGGCACTCCTTATTTTTATAGATCTAAGATTTATATTATTTTCACAAAACCAAATGGTATAATCGCACCTTGCCTATTGTGCTTGGAGTGTAATCGCCTATCTCACACCTGAAAAAATAAACCCTTTTAGACAGTCAACAACAACAACAGCTCTGAAACTGTAGAATGCTAAACAATGGCTGATTTCCGCACGAGTTAAACAGAGACTTAGATTTCAACTAACCTACAGGACTTAAGGTAAGAAATGCCTCAGAGAACAGTCCAAACTGAGCATTTGCAGTTTGTGCTCCACAGCTGTGAACTCTCTGCTTAAAGATGTCAAACAAACTCAGTGTCCTTTATGCCACTTTTACCAGACACAGCCCACAAACTACTTCAGTTCCTCTTCTTATTTCTTGCTCTTGAAATACTGCGAAACTATGTCTAGCTACAACGCTTCCCCTCTGTAAAGCACTATAGTATCATGGCAGGCGCTATGACTGCCACCACAGATAGATTCTGGGGGAAACACTGCAGACACAATACATAACAAGCTCGTTGGCTAATACAAAATGTCAAAACTCAAGTGAGGAACTTTTGGTTTTTGTAAACTCTGGCGCCTCTTGTGGACAAAGGAATCTTTGCTGATTTTGTCTTCTCCATGCTTAAGTAGTCACCTGGTGGACCCTACTTCACCCTACCGGTGAGCTGGAATACATCACTCATAATAAAACCGCTGATGAGTATGTGACGAAATGATGATAGGATGAAAATGGTGGCTTGTTGGACATTTAAGTTCATCATAGTTTACCCACTTTGGTGTGGCACATCTGTCAAAATACAAGCAATGCATTCCTGGTCATTGATCCTGTTTATCACAGGGAAATATCATCTATCTCCATGCTACTTTCTTGTTTTCATTCATAATTTTATCCCACATTAGATATGATAAACTCTAAATCATCAGACAGAGATGCAGCTGAGAGTAAAGGGAAGTGAGTTCGAAGGACACTGGAGGCCAGGCCTGGACCTCCTAGAAGTCAAACCAAATAAATACAACCACAGAAAATGTGTTTTGCAGAAGGACAAAAAATTCATGCATATTAACAACCAACTAAATCCAATAGTTTAGAAAAATCAAAATTCCAATATTTAAAGTCTGGATGGATACATACTCTTTTTGATGCAGGATCCTGTGTAGCATACAGTAGTGTGTCAGCTTTACAAATCTTGGTTTCCAGCAGTTTAAACACACATACCTCTCTGGTCACTGACGTTACATGAATGAGTACCTGATGATCTAACGTTTACCTGAATCCCCTTCAGCTGAATTCTGTCTGACACCGATTCCCACTCCCTGCTGAGTCCAGATCCTCTGACAAACTCAGAAGTCTGACAGTCCTCACCTTTTATACATAAAACCTGTCTACAAAGTCAGTCATGTTCCCGGCGTCACACACTGAAGCTGGTTCAGAGGAGTCTTTTGTCCCTGAAATTAAATTTGTCCTTTAATGACAGTGACGAAGAATTTCTGATCATCCTACACAGCTTGATAAGGTGAGATGACGTCTCGCAGCTCAAACTGATTCAGAAGCTGTAATTATCCTGCAACAACTGAATGAATTGCCAACCCTTCAAAAAGGCAAGGGCACTCAGCAGAAAGAAGATGGCTGCTGATTTATGAATATAGTGAACGGCTCTGAATCAACAGTGAAATAATCAGTTGGAGAGACGTGCTTAATGTGCGCAATCTAAATAAAACCAGCAAGCTTCTCTTCAGCCTGAATGTAGCTGCAGTGACTCAAATATCTCTTTTCACAACAAAATGAGACAGGGGTGTATTTTTTGGTGCCAGTGTGTGGATTGATGTTTGAATTCTGTCATTAAAATTTCATGCACCTCACGCACAACGCAGAGCAAATGTTGACACCACGCTCTACCAAAGGAGGAGGAGGCATGCAAGAAACAGGTCCTCCCTTGAGTGACAGGGAAGAATTTATTTATTTATTTATTTGACAATGAGATGGAAGAAAAACACAATCAGGGGTTGTTTTAGCGGAGACCTGACCAGCGGAGACCTGACACACACACACACACACACACACACACACACACATACATACAGACACACGTCTAACATGCACCGTCTCACAAAGCTGATCGTGCTCTTCTTCTATGATGGTCTTTACCAGCTAGGTCTCCACCAAGCGTAAAGGTCATTTGCCTTTTTCTTCCTGGGAAAGTACCAACCATGTTCCAAGTCGGCTGTCTCACTGGTTGATTGGCACAAAGATCGTCTTCAGGGAATGTGTCAAAGACACGAACATAGAGCTGTAAGAAAAACAACACTGTGGGATGTCTAAATGAACAATAACGATAGCTTTAAATGTGTTGCGTCAAAGTCAACAAAAGTGAGCAGTGGCATCAACTCTTAGCCACACTTTGCAGATCTAAGTCACTCTTTTTGGTAAATCTCTCAACACATCTACACTCTTTGAAATCTGTGTCAGACACATGTTGAAGCACAATGGTAATCACATGGGTAAGAACTCAAACACAAGCACAGCACAAGTGTCACAGTTACGTACTACAACTCAAAACTAAAACACTCCTTGCTAATGGCCTGATGACACTAATACCACTTAGAGACCCATTCTGATGACAATCATGTTTTTCTTGTTGTCCACATGGTCATATGGCATTTTTCTGATGCTACAGGATATATCGTGAGAAAACTAAGTGAAATTGCATTTCTGTGTATTTCTGCATTCAAATCACTGTGAATCTCTGACGGACCCAAATGGCAGGTTTAGAAACAGTGAACCTTCCTGTGTCACAACTCCAAGCTCCATCCCCAGAGCCCCACTATGCAGGCCTGACTCTGAAAAGTAGAGAGGATGATCGTGGAATTAGCATGTGCGTTAGCTGATTGCAATGCTCGTAAGAAAGCTAATTATGATATTAACTTTCATCGTGTCCCAAAAGACATTAGTGTCTGAGAGTTAAAGGTTTGAGGTGTCTTTGAGAGCCACATAAGTAATTTAACAGTTAGCCTACATATGTCAGTTAAAAAAGATTCAGTACTGACTTCAAGGCTTGAATACAAAGTACCACCACATGTTATCAGGGGAGGCACATTTCCTTACATAAAACCTCACCACGTCGAGGTCAGACTACACCATCTTAGCATGGTTAAACTCCAATCTGTCAGTTGACGGGTGTCAGGACCATAGACTGTATAATTACTAGATGTAGCATTGGTGACCTCACCCATCTGTTTCTGAAGCTGCATACCAGTAATGCTGTCTTAACCAAACATTCAGTCAACCTACCAAAACTAGACCTTTAGCCTCCTTGCAAATAGTTACAGAGTGTCTGCCTGTCAGTCAAGTCAGCCATGCCTCTGATTTGTTGATCTTGCATCCTGAATAACTTTGAAATGGACATATTATGAAATAATTCTGCATTGACTTTATTTCTTAAGACTAGGGGCTCTATTTTCGTGTACGCCGGTGAGGCGGCGGAGGGTGGCTGACCCCGAGCAGTTGTATTTTCGTCTGGCAGAGCCCGGCGTACAGCCAGATTGGTACTGAGATCCGCCAAGCTGGGCGTGGTGGCGTGGCAGGGGGAGGTGTCAACAGAATCAGCGGGGGCAGTGACATTTTCGTGCTCACCAGTGGTGTGTAAAGTGCGCTGAAAGCTTGCCGATTCAAACCTGGTCAGCTTTCAGCGCAGGCGGAGCTCAGCTGGTCGAGTGGTATTTTGGTAGGCCGGTGGCGTATCGGCATACGTCACCGAGGCCCCACAGGCAGGTTTACACTGTGTCAGGCACATTTCAGTGCAATAAATAATCATCAACAACTATTAATCTGAATCAGCACATACATTTAGATCTATATAGATATATTCTGATCTATATCTGATCTGATGAGCGCGTTTGGCACGTTTGGACACATAACCTGACCGAATCAACACAGCTGAAACCGCATTAAATGAAATTAAATATCTAGTAAATAAACACACATGATGAAGTTAACAAGATATTTAATTTGTCTCCCTCCTTTTCTTTCTCCCTCTTCCTCTTATTTCTTGCGCAGCTCGACCTGGACATGTCTCCATGTCCTCTCTCCATCCTGCTGCAGCTGCTGCTGCGGCGGCTGAACAGGTGATTTGTTTCAGTGATCAGATGAGTTATTTACTTTAAGCCTACATACGAATATTATAATATTCAGTTTTGTGAGCGAAATTTGGTGGCACAGATGGTTCCGATTTTAAAGCCATTTTTGGAGTTTATGATGTGATCTGTGCGCACAACCCACCTTTGTCAAGTGAGGTTTGAATATATGCAACTTTATGTGAGTGTCTTTATTTGTGGAAAAGGGTGTTTGTCTTCCTAGTGGGTCCAAACTTACACACACCAAATCCATCTGTGCTTATATGAGACAGTGTGGAGGACGCCCTCTGCAGCGCTTACAGTGACACTTGTTGAGGGGCTGTCTTCAGACATCTCTTGATCTCTGCGACTACTTCAAAATTGTAATACGCCTCGCCGGTGGCGGATTTAAAGGTGAGGAGAGGAGTTGATCTGATTGGTGAAAACAGGTATCGTCTGTGTTAAACCCACTCCACGCCCTCTATCCTCCCTCTCTACGACTTACGCTGCTGGGAGGAGCTGAGTTAGGGAGGGGGGATACTTACGCCGGGCTGCACCACTCACCAAAATACCAAATTGTGCTTGGGAATGCCTTGTCGGCGTGGTGGACCTGACTTGCACCACGCCTGCGGCACGTCTCCGGCGAGGCACGAAAATAGAGGTAACCCTAGAGGTCCCTTCCTCGTCTGGATCCACTGGCCCTAAAATTGGACCGTTATGGTTCATCTAATGTGTAATCGTGAACAACATCCTAAGGCTTGTCCGTGTGAAAACTTAGGAAGAATGTTGTTATCGCCCCACTCTTATAGCCCTACTTGTTTTGACTCAAGTATCAAGTTTTCTGGAGCAAGAAAATGAGCCTCTATTAAAGACAGATGAGATAACAGGCAGCCTGTGCTTGATTAGGCAACCGCTGTTCGGTTGAATTTATACAGCTCTTCTGATGTCATCTGTTTGTTATTTTAGCTAACATAAAGATCAACTGTAATGTTCAGGTACGACTTCCTCTCATAAACTAACTTAAAAAAAAAAACTACAACTTTGTTCCTGTAATATTATATCTTCAATCTTGTAATACTACAACTTTATTTTCTTTTTCCTTTCTCTCATGAAATTATAACTTTGTTTCCCAAGTTAATTCTTTGGATATTTGCAGCTTCATTCTCAAAATTGTATTCTTTTTTATTGTTGATGTGGCCCTAATCTTCCATCATTTGAATTAATAACATATTTGTCAGGAAACAAGTCTTGAGTCTGTGAAATCTGGGTCGGATCAAATGTGATCAGCCTTCAGTCCCACTGTGTCTCATCACTCCTGTTATATGTTGAGTTAAAGCTCTAAACTCCAGTTTGCTAATGAAATCAGAGTAAATTATGCGTGAAAGTTTTGACTTGAGAGAAGAGTTTTAGGAATGCATTAACTTCTGTTCTTGAAGGGCATGTGATGGATTTGAAGGATCTGAGGCTGGAATGATGATTAAAGTCATTAGACAGGCACAATGTTAATTCAAAGTGCATGCAGAGACTGCGTACTGAGCGAGTCCTCTCTGCTTAACAACTGGCAGTCCTTTAGCTTTGCTGAGTTTTTCTGAGCTGAGGAAGGTCGACTGACCCGAGTGAAGCTGATTAATCCGGTTCATCAGCTCAGGTCACGGAAGTTGTGTATAATGAGAGGATAATTGGGGAGGCAATGGTATCATTTTCTGGGACTAATCCCAAACTATTGGGAGGAATATTGAAAATAGATCCCTCCATTACAACCGCAGGCAACAACGGCTTTTAGCAAGAATCTGTTTAAAATTCAGTCGGTATGTGGCGCACTGAAGAGATGAACTCTAATGAATGTTAATCCTATGAAAATTTCCCTCTATTTTTTTTTTTTTTTTTTTTTTACCTCCGTCTCCATAGTGTCATCCCTGTCTGTGTCTTTCAGTCCCCACAGTGGATTGATCCGAGGATTACTGATGGTAAGGAATACTCTGCACTCACCTGGAGCACAATGTGAGCTGCATGTTAGTTGATGCAGCTGACTGTGAAAAGCGGATTAATGCTGCTAAGCTGTATGCAGCAAATGTGATCTTGGGAGGTTTGAAACACTGACTGCATAAAAAAAACTAAACATGCACTGCATTCTATATTCATAATTACAACACTACCTCTAGACAAGCAAATACTTCTTTTATTTACTGTTTTTGGCCTTGCCAAGTCTCCTATAGAAAATATTCAACTGTATATTCACAAATGAAGTCGTGAGTGTGTGAAAATCTCTGCTGGAAATGGTAGACTGCACTGTCTCCACACCAAAAACCCCTGGGTAAAAAAAACAACCTGGGTAATTTTAAACCCAACTCCAGGGTTCAAAAGTGACCAACTACTTGTTGAGTTATTTTAACCCAGAAAGTTGGGCAATTTAAATTAACCCAAGTTCGGGGTTGCAACAATAACCCTTTCTAGGGGGCAAATTGGACTCATAATCTTGGATTAAATCAATAAATACATTAGGTTGATGGGGAGCACCTTTTTTTTTTTTTTTTACCTGGATCCTATTTTCCCACTTACTTGTATCTAAATGTGTGGTAGGATTTTCAACTTTTGCATTTAGCAATTGCATAAATTGAAAATCCCAGCACACATTTATATAAAAAGAGATAGGAAAAAAGGGTCTAGGTTGAAAAAAAAAATGAAGCTCCCCTTTAACAGTCTAATTGTGTCCATGTCTGTAAAAAGAAGATACCAGGGAATTTATGGCACATATTTTTTTATTGGAACATGCTAGATTTATAAATGTACATACAGTAAACGGTAAGTTGTTTAAACACAGCAGATCCTCATTGTGTGGTCAACCTCTGCTATGTTTAGTGTACACAGACTGACATGACATGCAGGAACTCCTCCTCTCTTTCTTTCCTCTCTTGCAATCAAACTTGTGTTTAAGCACTCTACAAACAATACAAACATGCAAATCAAGTACGTTGTTCACACACAACATTTGCACATACAGATACCCATGAATTAAGTAAGTTGATAGTTTTATCCGCACTTGATGTGAACACATTAGCACCCCTAGAGAGCTGGAGTCACAAGATACCAAGGATGTGTTGTGATAAAATATGAAATTATGCTTTCTCTGATCTACTCGACTCCAGGCCTTGCTCTGCACACTGTAGATTTTTTTGTTGTTTTTTGATCAAGTAAAGTGAAGTTCCACAAACTATCAAATGTAGGCTTGCCTTTTATTGTTTTCACTGCCTAAGGTACTGGGTTTTATATGAAGCAGGCTTTTGTTAGAAGAAGGACTTTAAGTCTCTCTGTCAGAATTACAAGTGTTCACATTTACACAAAGTCACAGTTTTATTCAATAACTCCAACCAAAAGATATTACATTATTCACTAAGCACAAAGGGTTTAATACTTATGCTTGCGAGTAATGTCAGCATCTATTTCAAATGGTTCATTGTGTCTTCATTTAGTGTAAATCAACCTAACTGCAAAAAATCAAAATCATAAACCATTAGTGTCATGCTTTATTAATAAGCATCATTACACTGAACTTTTAAGTGATAAGAACTATTTCTTCTGTGACTGACCCAGAAATTATAAATCCATGCATGAATTTATTATTAGCATCTATTCTAGCTAGACTGGTTTGACCTCATAAACCAAAAAGTTTTAAAAAGTTGGTTTCATTTTCTTTTTTTTTCCTGGCATAGCT